CTCGATGACTTCAATACAAGGTAAGCTGACCATCCTTGAAGACTGACATGGCAGTTCGCGGTCACTAGTCTGAAGGCGGTTTTCAGTGTCCGAAATCGTGTTGAATAAAGCAGCAAGTCCAGTAAACGAAGAGCCACCTCCATGTTTCAGTAACGATGGTAGATAATTATGGGACCAAGGGGTCTTATTTCATTCCAAAAAGGGGAGCTTATGTTGAGATTATTACAAAGTGGAAGATGTGATATCAGCTTCCCACGTCGGCTCAGATAACGCTGAAAACAGCAGTGTCGCAGTAAGCCAGCTGAACAGCTATCCAAGATGTTCGGTAAAACGCGCTAGTCGACGAGGCTGAGAATACATTTACCGTAAATCATTCTCAGTTATTGACTCACCAAGTAACGCTGAAACACAGTACCAAATGGAATCTCTTTCGGTATTTTTATCAAACTGATCGATTCTTCAGGGATTCATTCACAGTTCAAGCGTCTCATTCTGGGACTACAACATGAGTCAAAACAATCTTTAATGCATACTTGAGACGATTTCAGTCAGCGTTCGGCTCACCAACCTACTTCATCAACGACAACTGGCGGACCAGCTTGTCATGATACTATTGAACCGCAGATTGCGAGCTTAAGTTGCAAGCAAGAAACATAAAGGCTAGCGATTATTTGAGGCGAAGTGAGTGCCAGGCGTGCGCGCACTAGAGTATGGTCAGTATCCAGGCGCTTTCGCTAAATTGCTCGGGAGTGTTAGATTGATGTGCGTCATTCGTAGCTGATGGTAGTAGGACTAATTTGAATCCAGATCAGTGGCGCATTCTGTAGGCGATAGGAAGGTCTGTGCTGGAAAGCGGTGTTGCAAGCAGCAACGTTGTGTTTCGCGCAAAGTCACAGTAATCGAACATCATTTTTAGTTCGACATGCCTCAACACCGATGCGGCCTCCTTGGCGTTGATCAGTTTGAAAAGTGCCCCACACGGGTATTCATGTCACCAGCAACAATCACGTCAGTGGTTCTGCCGTACGGATAATAAACGAAAGATGTCGGAAGAAATCATCCTTGGTGCTCTTCGAACTGCAGTCAGTAGGTGCGTAAACAGAGGCGCTGAAAAAGCACCTTTTCTTCATATTAACATGTAATATTTTGTACCGGGTGCGCATGAATCCACAACACAAACGTCACCGAGATTAACTCCTCGTTATGTCAACTAAGGCAACCGACCAGACGTGCTCATTGCCCTTCGGACCCCAACCCAGTAGTCGGTTTACACTAACCGGCGCTAATTTCGAACTAAGGCATTTTAGTTTGTTTAACTAGTCATCAGTTAGCCTAAACTTTCTCTCGTCGACTTCCATCCACATTCCGGTCAAACTAACAACGCATGACGCGGGAGTGGAGTGCTGGCATGCGCAACGCGTCGCCCAGCGATGGGAACGTGCTGTGTGATATAATGTTGCTAAACTTTTCATTCGCCCTTCCTACACCACATACGCGACAACGCGCATGCCCCTTACTCACTGGTGTTTCCACTAGACATGCGATTGACTGCGAGGGAAGCGACGGTCAAAACTAACTAGCCTCTTTTTATCTATCAACCTGATGTCCAGGTTTCACAAACATACTGGGCTGAACGGACGTCTGTGCTGTATACTCTGTCCCGCCTGACAAGATGGGTGCCACGCCGGCTCCACAGGTGGGATATTGGCATAAGCGCCTTGCACTTTTGCCCTACTGTCCGTGGTCTCATCATCTATTCCACGTGCGCTAATAGAGTTTCCGAGAAACTTGAATTTCTGGATGACTTACAATTGATCCACACCAAGGCTCAGTGCAGGACTGAGTCCCTGTCAACGTTGGAGAACAACATTGCATTTAGGGGGTGCAAAGCAAAATCGCAACGGTTGACAACCAGTATTCGGACTTAAATTTGGTAGTTATTCCTGCACCATCATCCATTTCCATTCCAGCTCAAAATTACCCCACTCCTACCACCTCAACTTTTGATGACACATCGTCAGATATTTACCCCAACTTATTCAACCAGTTAGCGTGTCTACATATCCAGTCACAATCCACCAAGTCGCTTCCTTCAATGCTCGCTCACTTCGAAATAAGATACCCACTCTTCGCTCCATGGTGTCTCTCTTTCAAGCTGACTTTATCCTAGCTACAGAGACATGGTTCAGAAGCGAAACTCCGCAGTCTTGCTATCACATTGATCAATATCATAGTTTTCTCGCGTGTCGAACCTCAGCACCTGGTGGCGGTTGCATAATTTATATATCAAATAACTTCCAAGCATCACTGCTGTGCGCTTCCCTTCCAGACAGCGATATTGAAAGCATAATTGCACATGTTACTCTAGGTAGAACCTCGATGGTTTTGGGTTGCATTTACTCCCCTCCGAATCCCAGTACGGATGACTTACGAACATTGGAACGCTTGTTTTGCTACTTAGCAGAATTACCAGTTAAATGTAAAGTATTAGGAGGAGATTTCAATATGCCTGATATTGACTGGAGATCGTGCGCCGCACCCACTAAATATTCGAGACTGATGTCTTCTTTACATGTATATGGATGGACACAACATGTCCATTCACCCACCAGGGGAAACCACACTCTCGATTTATTCCTTACGCTAGGCCTATCCAACGTTTCTGCTGTTGTTCTAGACAATTTCCCCTGGAAGCGATCACAAGATGGTCCAACTCACCTTCGATAAGCCATTTTCTGATCCTACCCCGACTAAACCTGCCGTCCTCTACCGACCATACAATTTGTTACACATGGAATCGCTTTCCGCCCTTCTGAGATCCTTGCACTGGGAAAATTTCTTCCTAACCAATGATCCGCAAGTGGCAGCCGATGAGTTCTACAAGAATATTGAGATGTGTCTAGATGCTCTAATACCACTGAATTATTGCCGTCATTCCAGAAAAATAAAATTAGTGTCTACTCCCGGAAAATTTTCACGCAAACTTGCACGACTCCGAAATTACTACGTGAAAACAAATGACTTCTCCCTAGTATTGCTACAACAGAAAATCCTTGCTCAACTTGACAGACTTCGGCATATCAGACTTATGGACGTAGAAAGACGGGCGCTAAATAGCATGAATAAAAACCTAGAACTCACCAAGCTGATGAAATATAGAAACAAGAATACGGAAACCCCATCCATCCTGATTTCTGGTAACCAAATAACTAACAATCCAGATAAAACAAGCAGGGATTTCAATAATTACTTTTGTTCTACTTTTAACACCGCTGCTGCGGCTCCCTCGCACATTATCCCTCTGCTTACTGATGACAAGATCTGCACAGTTGATTTTGAACTTCGTGATATAAATCGACTTATCACCTCTACGAAGTCATCATGGTATGCCGGACCTGACAAATTACCACCAACGCTTATAACATACGGTGGATCTGACTTCCCTGTACTACTTTGGAATCTTTTTCTCTATCCATGAACACCGGTACCGTGCCGTCACAGTGGAAGACGGCTGTAGTCATTCCTCGCTACAAGTCAGGCTCTGTGCATGAAATGAGCAACTACCGCCCAATAAGCCATACTTCTATCCTCTCAAAAATGATGGAGCGCCACATAAAGTCCAAAACTGTGGACTTTATGATGTCGCGGAATCTTATCAACACCTCACAACACGGCTTCCTAAGCACGCGATCCTGCATAACATGTCAGATAGACTTTCTCAGTCTTCTGACTACTTCGCTCGATGACGGTTCCTCAGCGATAGTCATCTACCTAGAAATGCACAAAGCATTTGATCGTGTCCCTCATAACCACCTCTTATCCAAACTAACTGCATATGGCATAGACAACCCTCTGCTTTCATGGTTTGATTCTTACCTAACTAATAGAACCCAGGTTGTTCAGATCGAGCACGAAACAAGCACGCCAAAGCCTGTCACCAGTGGTGTGATACAAGGTAGTGTTCTGGGACCCTTTTTATTCCTACTTTACGTAAATGATATTTTTGATGTTTTTGCCTCCGGCAAACCTTTCCTGTTTGCCGATGACATCAAAATTGTTTACACTTTTAATCCAACTGAGGTCAGTGATACGCTTAGCGAAATCCAGCATGACTTACGTACACTGGACTCCTGGAGTTCCAAATGGATGATGACATTCTCTACTGATAAATGCCACGTGGTATCCTACAGATGTGACATCACACCAGGTTCACTAACTATAGATGGTAAACCATTGTCTCACTGCCATATAACGAGACAGAAACAATTAACGAAAGCTTAGCGTCAAAACTAAAATAAGTCAGCAGCCGTACGCAGACACCCACCCCCCTCACCCCTCTCCACACATCCACTCTCCACACCACTGCCCCACACCAACCCACTACACAAACCCATACCCCCCCGCCCTGAGCTTTTCCTTCGCAAGCGCACCTCGCCCGCCTCACCATCCCCTTTCTCCCCCCCCAAACGGCAAAGCCCTGCCTCGCGCCCCCCCCCTCTCCCACACCGTGCATACCTCATCCCACCCCCCCCCCGCTCCACCTCCAACCCCCTCCCCCTGCCCTCCCCCCCCCCCCTCGCCACATCCCTCCTTCCCCGTTTAACCCACCCGGCACCCCCCCACCCTCCCCTCCTCTCCCCCTTGCATCCCTCGTCCCCCCCCCGCTCCACCCCACTCGCCACCTCCCTCACCTCCCCCCCCTACCCTGGCACCGCCCTCCTTCCATCCACCTCCCACTCCCCCCCTCCGCTCCACTCTCCCCTCGCCATCCCCGCCCAACCCCCGCACGTCCCGCCTCACACACCTAACACCGACAGGCCCCCCTCCTCACCCCCCACTCCGCCCCCCTACCCCCCCCTACGCCCGCCATCACCCCCACTCCCTAACCCACCACGCACGGGGGGGGGGGACGGGTGCCTCACCCCCGCCACAAAACTACCCCCCTCTCCCCCACGCCCTACCCCCTCCCTCCGCCTACCCCAACCCGTCTACCTCCCTACTCATCCCCCACAACCCCCCCCTCCACCGACCCGCTCACCCACTACCCGGTCATCCCCCCACCCCCGCACCACCCCCCCCAGCCCCCCCCCCCCCCCCCCCCCCCCCCCCCCCCCCCCCCCCCCCCCCCCCCCCCCCCCCCCCCCCCCCCCCCCCCCCCCCCCCCCCCCCCCCCCCACCCCCCCCCCCCCCCTCCCCCCCCCCCCCCCCCCCCCCCCCCCCCTCCCCCCCCCCCCCCCCCACCCCCCCCCCCCCCTCCCCCCCCCCCCCCCCCCCCCCCCCCCCCCCCCCCCCCCCCCCCCCCCCCCGCCCCCCCCCCCCCCACCCCCCCCCCCCCCACCCCCCCCCCCCCCCCCCCCCCCCCCCCCCCCCCCCCCCCCCCCCCCCCCCCCCCCCCCCCCCCCCCCCCCCCCCCCCCCCCCCCCCCCCCCCCCCCCCACCCCCCCCCCCCCCCCCCCCACCCCTCCCCCCCCCCCACCCCCCCCCCCCCCCCCCCCCCCCCCCCCCCCCCCCCCCCCCCCCCCCCCCCCCCCCCCCACCCCCCCCCCCCCCCCCCCCCCCCCCCTCCGCCCCCCCCCCCCCCCCCCCCCCCCTCCCCCCCCCCCCCCCCCCCCCCCCCCCCCCCCCCCCCCCCCCCCCCCCCCCACTCCCCCCCCCCCCCACCCCCCCCCCCCCCCCCCTCCCCCCCCCCCCCCCCCCCCCCCCCCCCCCCCCCCCCCACCCCCCCCCCCCCCCCTCCCCCCCCCCCCCCCCCCCCCCCCCCCCCCTCCCCCCCCCCCCCCCCCCCCCCCCCCCCCCCCCCCCCCCCCCACCCCCCCCCCCCCCCCCCCCCCGCCCCCCACCCCCCCCCCCCCCCCCCCCCCCCCCCCCCCCCCCCCCCCCCCCCCCCCCCCCCCCCCCCCCCCACCCCCCCCCCCCCCCCCTCCCCCCCCCCCCCCCACCCCCCCCCCCCCCCCCCCCCCACCCCCCCCCCCCCCCCCCCCCCCCCCTCCCTCCCGCT